TGCTGGGGCCGGGCAAGGGAGGAGCGATTGGGGAGTGGGGGCTGGGTGAGGGGGCTCTTCCATGTGGCCCCAGAGCCCCCAAAGCTGCTGCTACTGCTGATGAGTGTGGGTTTTGGTTTTTTTTGGTTTTTTTATTCCTGGACTGATAAGGCCAGGCAGAGGGGCCATCAAGGGTGGGGCTGGGTGGAGGAGGTGATCGGGGAGTGGGCTCTGCATGGGGGGGCTCTGACAGGAGGCCCCAAAGCCCTCACAGTCCCTGCTGCATCCAGTGAGTGTGGGGCTTTTTTTTTTTTTTTTTAAAGTGCCGGGACTAGGCTGGGGCTGGGCAGGGGATGGGGCCAGGTGGGGCAGCCATGTGGGCTTCTCCCATGGCTCCCCCTGCCTGGAGACAGGCACAGCCACAGGAGCCATGGGAGAATCTGCAGCTGCCTAGCTGTTCCTGCCCAGCCGTTCCAAATCTCTGGATCAGTGTTGAATCAGTGCCGAATCTTCAATTCTGATTTGGCTGCATTGAATGGGGACAGTGATTTGAATCACCAAATCGAATCACTGTCCTCTGAATTGTCCGAATCTGAATTGAATACTTCCCTATTTGCACAGGCCTAGTAGGCAGATTTCCAATACAATGTGGTGGTGATATGGCAACTGCAAACATTCACTGTAGCGTCTAGAAAATGCATCTGCTGTGTGGAGTATTTCAGAGTTAGTTTAATGGAGGGGTGGAAGTTGTTAAAGTCTTATTGAAATTTTTCTAGAGATTCCTTTCCATGTGTTCATATTATGAAGATGTCTATATTAGACAGACAGGGTGAGCTCCCATTATAAAAAACAGTTTGAATGGGTACCGCTTTGTTCCTATGGTTGTTTAATGCTTGTTTGCTTGTCTCCTACCACTGCCTTCCCAGCCCCCTGCCCCATATACCTCTCTCCCCCTTCCCTTATTTTCTGTATTCTACTTTATCTCTTCTTACACTCCTTCTGCATGTCCTTTCAGAGCATTGGATGAAGTGAGCTTCAGCCCCCAAAAGCTCATCCTCTCTATATATTTTATTTAGTTAGTCTACAAAGGTGCAAGTCTACCCTGCCTTCCAATGACAGAGATAAGAAAGGGGATAGGAATTGTGATGCTTGCCCACAATGTTGACAAATTCAGCTTCTTCATGTCCTCCTGCCAAATGAAGTATAACTAAATGTAGGGCAAGACTTACAAATAAAGGGTTTTCAAATTCCACCTTTTTGTAAAGCACTTTTATTTTAAGTCAAGGATTTTTAAGGCAATTTTTAGGGCGAGAGACATGTGCCCAAGTGTTTGTCTAAGATCTCTCCCAATTATACAGTTGTTCCAATAAAATGTATCACCAAAAATAGTGACCTGATGTGTATTTCTTAGAATACATTGACCATACTTTTAAATTTTAGTGCTTCAGTAGAATAAAAATGTTTATCCATCTTCTATTGTGTCATTGTGGAGTGCTTCAGAGATACCCTCATTTCAACCGGGGTCATTTTTCATGTGTCTTAGGCTGATTTTCAGCTCTTTTGTATTGTAGGTTATCTGTCCACTCAGTTTGTATAGCTTTTAAGAGTTGTTTAGAGATAAATGAATGTTATGTCTGTCCATACCTGAATGCATACAGCCACCAGAACTCTAGACAGGTCTACACAAAGGACTAGATGACCACCTTGTACATCTAGAAACCATGGAAGATGCTTTTTATTACTGCTCATGTGCATTTCACTGTTGGAAGATAGAGGTAAGCTTTGTATGCCTTGGACATATGCCACCTGACCTAAAAAGCCCTTAACATCATTTTGCCCTTTCTTAGCAGGCATTACAGAATTTGTATGACAATTTTTAGAAGTGTTTTGTAAGATCAAAGCATGTTCTCAGAGCTCTAAGCATCTACTTAATACCTGTAGCAGGTTCAATATTAACATTGCTGGTTCAATATTAATGTTAATATCAAGCCTACCATAAATATTAAGTAGATGTAGTATAATATAAATATGAAATACAGAATAACCTAATGGCTTATGAGTTCTCATACTTAGAGACCTCTGGCTCTGAAAAAGAATTGCAAATTTCAGCACATGACAGAATTTGAGTCCAGCTTAATGAAGAACATATTGGATCTTGATTATACCTACTACAGGGTTTTCTTTAAAAAAATAAAAATCAGTGACTGAAATCAGATATTGTTCCAAATGGTTTAACACTGGTTAACATAAACATCAATAATCCTATATATAGCAATAGCATTACACTTATACAAGCCCAAAAGAAACAAATTATCTATACATATCTTAGGGAGAAGGACAATGCAGGCAAGAAAATAAAAAATGGGGAAAGGTGGAAAGAAAGAATATAAAATTAGGTACTCTGATCAGGAATGTTTGCATTTAGAAAACTAGACTACCAAAGCAGGGAAGATGATGGTAATGAACTGAACACTGATGAGAAGACTGGATTTAAAAGATTAAATAGCACTGTAGTTAAGAAAAAAAAAAAAAAGTTATGTTACCAGCAAATATCTAACTCTTTTAATCTAAAACTTAGAAGATGCCAGAGAAAAAAAAGTTATAAAACTTTTCTGTATTTGTTGTTACAGGGGGGTTGGGAGGGAAGACAATAAAGATAACTAATAATCAAGGACTTTTTCATTTTAATTTGCATCTGTATCTCCATGGGGAAGAAACAAATTGTAAGTTGTCTTGTGTTGTGTAATTCAATATTAGCTTCAGGCTAACAAATAGGACAGTAAAGCACATACTAAGACTGAATTATAGGATCCAGGGAGGGATAATCTAAGATTTTGCAGCTCTTTGTATCTCTCCAGCATACACGCCCATGCAGAGTGATGGAAATCCTCCTTCTATGAAAAGCTAGCAGAAAGTAGTGGAAGTCTTAGGAAGACAGGTAAAAAAAGAGAGGAGAGGAGAATGGTCATAGGAAATGGTAAAACTCCTTCAGACATGGACTTACAGTTCCACAGTGGAGTACTGAAATATGATTGGGGTTGCAAGGTGCTACTGCAATAGAAACTGTTCTAAATAAGGGGAGGAAGGTTGTGGCAGGGAGGAGAGAGAAACAAATCTGTGAGAACTGGGGGGCATCCATGAATAAGCTCAGATTTTGTTGGGCCTACTTGCATACATCAGTTAGAACAATGACACTACAGGTTTACCTTGCTTTATGCGGATTCTGTGTGTCTAAATTCACTCCCATGCTATGACCCTTTTTATACCTGTGAGAGGGGAGGCAGAAGCCCCCTCAGCATGGCTCGGACCCCTGACCAACATGCCCCAGCACTTACCTTAGGAGCCGGGACTAGCGGCAGCTGGGAGAAGATGCAGATGCAGGCTAGCCAGTTCTGCAGCTGCCTGAGTCTGTGTATCAGTGAATGTTTGGGGTGTGGCTTCTGAGCAGCGCAGGATGCTCAAAAGACAGCTGGGGAACCAGCTGATCCCACATTGGGAACCGAGGTGCAGAACGCCACCTGGGAGATGCCAGCTGCAGAGCTGGTGGGCTCCAACTCCAGTCACCTCAAGAAGGAGCCAGGCGCCTGCTGGAGGACCTGACCAGTGAGGCAGAGGGCAGCCTTGGGAGCCAACAGGGGCAAGGAAGCCCCATGGAGGGGCAACAGCCACAAGGAATAACACCAGGGAGCAGCAGGGCTCTAACTAGGAGCTTGGACACCATGGCTGGAGATGGCTCCTCAAGCCTGCAGGCAACCCCAGACAGACCTGGAATGGGCAGAGCATGGGGATCATGAGCCCCCAAAATGGGGAAGGAGGTGATGCCAGCTGGAAGAACCAGGGCGACCAGACCACAGGTCAGCTGGGCCCCAAGGAGATGACACCAGGAGAGGGGATTGAGGGACCTGAGACAGACTATCTTGGGGCCCACGCCAGCACGAGCCACTCGTTTTCAGCTTGAGTTAAAGTTTGGCCCCAGACGGGACAAGTTAATTTTTCCAGAAGAGGGGAAGCTAACCAGAGATGAGGGCAGACCCCCAAAGATTAATGGCCAGGAAGGCCCGTCCTTTCCAAGGCAGACAGCAGGGGAAGACCTCCAGGGAGCAGCGTTGACCCAGGTCAAGGACATGGAAAGGGTGGGATAAAGGGGGGTTTCGAGCCCCACAAAGACACACCAGAGCTGAGACCCCCTCGGGTCACTGACAGGGAACTGTTTCCCCAGCAACAACATCAAAGACATTGCAGGAGAGAAAGGGGCAGCTCCCAGACCATCTAGGTGGCACCAGAACCAGGTCTCACCCTGATGTCACTGGGGGGCAAGACACCAACAAAGAGGGCACCAAAACCCTACAACACCAGCAACAATACCAAAACCTACCAGTGACGATACCAAAAATTTGTTATACGCGAGGTAAATTCATTCTTATGTGTTCTGTGTGGTGGAAGCCCGTTGTTCAGGGCAGTTGGTGCTCATGCTTCTGCAGTTGCAGCTTCTCGGGGAGCGATGCAATGCCACGTGCATCCTGCCACTGAGCAGGCAGGGGGCACAGCACAGCTCAGCAGTGCCGCTCATGGGGCAGCTGTAGCTGGGCACAAAGCACAATGCACAGCAGCAACTGCCTGTCTGCTGTTCGT